GAAACATTAAAGTTAAGATTTGATTGATTAAAAATCCATCTATTATAAATTGTTTTTCTAATATATCTTTAATTATTTCTACAATGTGAGTATAATCATTAACTTGAACTTTTATATATTCTTTCTGATTCAGTAATTATTTCTTCTCAATTTTATTTTTTTGTATTTTTGTGATTTTATTCTACTAAATTTTCTAATTATTTCTATTTATTAACTATTTTGCTTTAATATTAGGTCTATAACATAATTTTTTTTCGATAATTGTCTATAACATAATTTCCTTGACCAGTTATACATTTTTGTTTAAAATTAGATGAGCAATGGGTATGGGTGAGTATATTAGCTTTCTTTTTAACAATAATACATAATTGTAGTATTTTGTTAAGTTAAACATACAATTTTGGCTTTGATACTAATATGAGTGCACTAATTAACTTTTGTAAAATTGTCAAGAATTTTAATAAAATTATTAAGTATTTTGTGAATTAGTTTTTCAAAGTGAATGGTGAAGGTTTGAATCCTTAAAGAGATAAAGAAAGTGTGTGAAAGGTGTATATCTCCTACCAAAATGAAAACATAAATAAAATTATTTTGGTAAAATTAATATTTTTACAAAATCTGATTTTTAAAAGTTATAAAATTGATTTTTTGTTGTCTAATAAGCAAGTAAAACACATTTAAAAATAGAATAACACCAATTATATTCTTTGATTGATAAAGCCTTCTTAGTACAGCTGATTGGTCAACATAAAAATGAGTTATAATCAATTTGAGATGAGTTTAACCCAAAATGGATAAACTGTTTGGCCCTTTTATTTATTTATTTATTTTATTATTTTATTATAAATATTATAAAAGACAGTGTCACAATAATATTTAGTTATAAATATTATAAAAGACAGTGTCACAATATTTTGTATCCTTTTTTTTTTTTTCTTTTTTTCTTTTTTCCTGGTAGAATAGGATTCCTAAATTTTTAGTTTAATCTTTAGGAACAGAGAGAAGTGGGGCTCTGTTCTTCTAACCTTTTGCTTGCCTCTTTGTTGTTATTAATCAATCTTTCCAATTACTCCCTCTATTCAAAAATAGTTATAATGTGTTAAAATTCTAAATTTTATGGAATTATACTTAATAATGAGTGAAGTTACATTTATAATCTTATAAGGTGCTAAACAAGTAAACGGAATAAGAGTAGTTTGAAAATGTGATGAAAAATACTACATCTATTTTTTAAAATGGGCATGTATTTTAGAATATTCAAAAAAAAAATATGGACAAATATTTTGGGAAGGAGGAATATTTAAAGATCCGGGACCCACTTGAAATTTTTTTTTTTTTTTTTTTTTTGGATAAAATGCTGCTAGGCTTTTGGCATTATTCACATACTTTATACATTTATTTGTTTATATACTATTCATTTGATGTATGGATTTTGATATTGTTTGTCGTGAGAAATTATTACATACATAATTGACCCGGGTTTAATTCATTTACACCATGGTGTTTTGTGGATATTTCCAGAAGACCTCTCTATGTTTGTTAATATTTGGTCACACTTATTGATCAAAGCTGATCAAAATATACTTTTAGATGACGTCAACCAGAAAAACATAAATTAAAATGTCCAAATTATAATTCATGTCCGGCACTACCAGATAAAAAGAAACTCTTAATCAAACGAATTTTAAAAAACGGTGTCGTTTGAATTCTTCCCAAACACTGAAAACCCACACCCCTTTGTTCATGACCAACATGTTCCACCATGATTTCCGGCCACATAACACCATTAAGTCCTCCAAATCTTTCCATTAATCAATTCACATACTCCCCCCTCTTTCTCTCTCTATAATTTCATCTCTTTAGGATCTCCTCGTCACACACCTTCTCACCACCATTAGAGAGACCCGCCATTTCCGTTCAACTCATCACCGTGCAAACTCATCACTGCCGGAATCACGAACCTCTTCTCTTCACCACGTCGCCAAAATGGAGAAATATATATATATATATATGTTCATATTCGCGTACAGCTGGGGATGAGCAAGAAATATTGAAGCTTCTAACAAGTAAGTTACACCATTTTTGAAGTTCTCTTTCTCTCTAAGAGACATACACGTACATACAGTGTAACTATAGAAGCTGAAATAAAACACTACTGTATATGTTTTTGGTGAGAACAGAAATATGTGTGTGTGTGTGTGTGTATATATATATATATATATATCATTCATAATTAAAAGTGATAAAGCATCATAGCAGAAGAAGCTAGGCACAGGTAAGAGAAGAAATTTTTTTGAGATGACCAGTTCTCATTAATCTCAACTTGTATCATGAACTCCATGGGTTTTCCCAAACTTTTACAGCATGATCTATGTCAAACTTGATAGACTATACTTTTTTTCTCAAAGTTACAAGCGTATGTTTACACACACTGACGCTCGCATCATATCCCTAACATAGCTAGAAAACTCACTGTGTTTAGTGAGAAGTAAAATTATACCAGCCTAGTTAATGTTTAATTCTACAATTGTAAAGACAAATTAGGCGTCTAATGCTCTTTCTAGACGCCTAATTCTTTTATTATTATTATTATTATTATTTATTTTTATATAACTTTTCTTTAAAAAAAAAAAAAAATCAGAAGTTTCTTTTCTTTTAATATTAGTATCACAGTATTCTTTCGTTTCATTATTTCTCTTTTTCCTTCTGGATACTTCTATTTTATTTTTAGAGTTAAAATTTTCATCTTTGATATTTTATTTTATATTAAAGTTAAGATTTGATTGATTAAAAATCCATCTATAATAAATTGTTTTTCTAATATATCTTTATTTTTTTTCTAGAATGGGAGTATAATCATTAATTAACTTGAACTTTTATATATTCTTTCTGATTCAGTAATTATTTCTTCTTAATTTATTATTTTTTTTTTTATATATTTTCTTGATTTTATTCTGCTAAATTTTCTAATTATTTCTATTTATTAACTATTTTGCTTTAATAGGAGGGTCTACAACATAATTTGCAAGACCAGTTATACATTTTTGTTTAAAATTAGATGAGTAACATAATTTGCAAGACCAGTTATACATTTTTGTTTAAAATTAGATGAGCAATGGTTATGGGTAAGTACATTCGCCTTCTTTTTAACAACATACATAATTGTAGTATTTTGTTAAGTTAAACATACAATTTCGGCTTTGATAATAATTTGAGTTCACTAATTAATTTTCGTAAAATTGTCAAGAATTTTAATAAAATTATAAAGTATTTTGTGGCTTAGTAGTATCTTCTATACTTTTCAAAGTGGATGATGAAAGTTCGAATCTTTAAAGAGATAAAGAAAATGTGTAAATGGTGTGTATCTCTTTATCAAAATTAAAAAAAAAAAAATTTCGGTTAAATTAATATTTTTGCAAAATCTGATTTTTAAAAGTTGTAAAATTGATTTTGTTTTTTTTTAGTCCAGTAAGCAAGTAAAACACATTTAAAAATAGAATAACACAAATTACCTTCTTTGACTGATAAAGCCTTCTTAGTACAGATGATTGGTCAACATAAAAATGAGTTATAATCAATTTGAGACGAGTTTGACCCAAAATGGGTTAACTGTTTGGCCCTTTTATTTATTTTTATTTTTATTATTTAATTATAAATTTTATAAAAGACAGTGTCACAATATTATTTAATTATAAATATTATTAAAGACAGTGTTACAATATTTTGTATCCTCTCTTCTTCTTTTTTTTTTTTTTTTCTTTTTTTAAGATAAAGTATATATATATATATATTTTGATAAAATAGGATTGTTTTTTTTTTTTTTTAATTTTTTTTTTTGGTAGTTATAAATCAATCTTCCCAACTATTAAGGATCCGGGGCCCACTTGAATGGTTTTTTTTGATAAAAAGCAGCTGAATTTTTTTACATTAACAATTAAAAAGCAGTTGTCCTCCAAATCTTTCCATTAATCAATTCTACATACTCCCTCCCCCTCCCTATAATTTCATACTCTTTAGGATCTCCTCACCACCATTATGACTTTTTGTTGTTGTTCTGTAAATTTTAAAAATGACGGCAGAAAACAAAAAAAAATAAGAGTATTACGTCTAAATGTCTCTCTTAATATGAATTGATTTAGTGTATCTAAAAAAGAATGGACAAATTCAAAAGAATCGCAACAATTGTTATATGACATAAAAACCCATTAATACTATGTATCACAAATCCGGTAGTAAAACTCCTTAGGGAGCTCCACACCTGGCCACACCTGGCTCTGACTTCCACACGCATTCTCAGCTATATGAGATTTTGTATGTTCATTAGCGTAAAGGGGTCTTCCTTATAAGTTATAACACTCGCTATGTAACTTAGACCTCCTTAATTGGTTAAACTTCTTCACCCATAGAACAACTTTTTCAACTTTTTTCTTTTAGGAGAGCCATTCTTTTCGAAATCCTAAATACTTTTAGAAAATGCCAAGGAGATTGTTCCAAGACTTTGTCAGCTTCAATTTTACTTGAACAAGTGAAAAAATGTAAAATCATTTTTGGTTATATATAGACCTCTTGCAGAGAGATTTTTTTTTTTTTTTTGGGGGGGTTGGGGGTGGAAAGGTTAAGCAAATATATTAGATGTATAAATAAACTGTACAGGGAGACCTAAAGAAGAGCAAGACCCAATATTCACAAAACAAAAGCTGTGTAAAACCAAAACTGAGTCTCCAAGTAATTTTAAATCATTTTCTAACTTTCCCCTTAATCGTGCACAACGAATTTTCTTTTTTATTTTTTATCTTCATAACTTGATGGTATATAGCTTGAATTACCATTTTCCCACCTGAGCATTGTGTACACCCAAAAATGTTGTCTCAGATTATACTCCTATTGATTAAACAACATTGCTCAAAAATTAATAATTGAGAATTTGAAAAAAGAAAAGAACAGAACAGAATTTTGATATGTAATTTAACTGAGGAGTCTCCCTCTTTGTTTCTTGCATATTTTATTTAAATGATATACTACATACATATATAAACATAAATATATTTTTGGAGGGTAAATCACAAGACTGATATATGAACCAGACAGGTGATATATATATATATAGAATTAAGACGGGAGAGTGATGGAACATGGCGTCAATATTGATGGCGAAGCTGTTGCATTTCTGAATGAAATACATGAGGAGGCCGATCCAATTGAAGATTTTCAAAGTGCACGGGGGAGTGATTTTTCCAGTGTTTCAAGCGGAGTTGATCATCTTGAATTTCTGATTCATGCAGATCAACAACTTCAAAATGAAATAGATGGTTTGCCACCTCTAGTCTCTGAACCATGTATTTTCAAAGTGAACGAGGGACTACGCAAAGGGAATGAAGAAGCATATACGCCTGTCCTAGTATCCATAGCTCCTTACCACTATGAAAACTCCAATCTACGTGCAATGAGAGAACATAAGCTGCGCTATTTTCAATCCCTCTCCCAACGCATTAATAATTATATAAATGACACCATCTCAGTGGCAGCTTACCTTATCCTTGTGAACGAAATGGCGGATAGAGCTAAAGCCTGTTATGCGGATCCCATACGTCTGGAGAGAGACGAATTTGTGGAAATGATACTTCTTGATGCTTGCTTTATTATCGAGTTTCTCCGCAAAAGTTGTTACGAAGAGCTAAGAGATGAGGATGACCCCATTTTCAGATCATCTTGGATGCAAAAGCAAATTTGCCGGGACCTCATGTTGCTTGAGAACCAGCTTCCCTTCTTCGTTCTTGATGAATTGTTTAACCCAACCTTAAACTTAACTTTCGAGAAATTTCCCCTCCATGTACTGGCAATATTTCCTATCTTTGACATGCTACCCAAATGCTATTCCCCTGAAAAAACCATTGACCAAATAATTCAGAAAACATCTGCTCATGGACGTGAAATCAAACATTTTCTTGACTTGCTGCAAATTTTTTACCGTCCCTCATTTGAAGAGCCTTCTGCAAATTTAAGTGATGGTGAAAGGTGTACCCGAATGTCTACCGCGATGGAGCTTCAAGAGGCTGGTATTAGCTTCAAAGTTGATGATGACAATGATGATGTTAGCATTTTCGATATAAGCTTTAAGAATGGTCAAATGAAAATCCCTAAATTTCAAGTAGCAGATGGCACAGATACATTCTTACGTAACATTATTGCGTACGAGCAACATTCTTGTGATGTTGGACCCAAATATTTCACGGATTATATGCACTTTATGGATTTGCTTATCAACACCGAGAAAGACGTCAATATGCTTCGTCTCAATGAAATTATTGACAACTGGTTGGGTGATGATGTAGAGGTGGCTCGTTTATTTAACAAGTTGGGTGATGGAGTACTAATTTCACCATCAAAATTCTATTACTCAGATGTATGCCAAAAGGTGAAAAATCATTGTGAAAACTGTTGGAATCGAGCCAAGGCAAAGTTAAGACGCAACTATTTCAACAACCCATGGGTAGGCATTTCAACAGTTGCAGCTTCCATACTCCTTTTATTGACCCTAATACAAACTGTAGTAGCCCTCATCCCTCCCTTCTCTTAGTCAGATCAACAAGTGACATTTTCTGTTCATGTTACTTTCAATAAGATTTCTGTATAAATTAGTATGTATCAAAATTTTAATTTGTGTGTGTGCTCTTTAGAGAATATGTCTGAATTCCCAAAAAATAATAATAATAATAATAAATAAAATAAGAACTTGTTTTTTTTTATTTTTTTTTAAATTTCTCGTACTGTAGTTGTTGAATGGACTCACAATACGACATCTACTAATCTTCAAATAGAAAGTCCAAGCCAACAAAAAGATAATTTTATCACAATGACACGTTTTCCATTGCTATATAATTTTATTACGCACTTATTGCATGGTCATAAATATCAATCCCATTTCAGTCCTAACATTCACCCTAATATGATGATGACCACTTTAAACAACATATCTTATACTAAAGTGTTCCTTGCTAATACCGATTTAGTCAAAAATTAATTTACCCAAGTGTTTAAAAAATGCTATATACCACATTTACCCCCTTCCTTTCTAACCATCAAATATTTGGCTTGTAGTACATAGAATCTCATAATCAATACAATCAAGGAGTTCCAAATTGTGGCCGAATACATCCCAAAGGTGAAATTATGCATCATTTGTCAATACAATTAAATCATTAACAACGTCTAATTGTTAATTTGATATTCAATGGAATCTCAATTTAATTTCCAAACAATTGATTTCAATCTTGATCGAGAAATCCTAACAGAACTTGATCTAATGGTTATAATTCCTCATGTTGTAGCACTCGCTCTTAAATGGGTCAAACGATTATTCCCGTAAGAATTTTTCCAGCAAATTAGCACGAATTTTGAACAGTAATCAGGTACTTTACTCCTTTCCACACGAAATTATACCCGAAAAAAAAATGGATATCAAAGCTCCTTGGACTAGACTCAAGAACTCTCCTCATAGTCCGATCATCCATAAAATTAAATTGAAAAATACCCATCTTTCCTACTCTCATTATACCCACCTTTCCTTCGCACGGTCTTTAGCTTGCATTTGAGTGGATCAATAATATAACATCTCTCATCTCAAAATGGGAAGTGAGGGATCCGAGCCCTAAAAAAGATTTTGACTTCCTTGGCTCTTCTATTTCATCGGGATTCTGTGATTTCTTTTCAGAATTGAACTTTTTTTTTTCCTGTTTTATCTATAAAATGATAAATTATATAATAAAGTAATACTTCAAGTAAAATATTTTTTTTTATTTTCGAAATATATATTTAATTGAATTGAAAATAAAAGAACGCATAATTTTACTTAAGTAGAAACTAACATGAAAGCAAACCAATATCTACCTAATCTTAACTTTATTTTTTTTTCCTTTTTCAAAAGGTATCTTTAATTGAATTGAAATTCCGTCGTATGGTTCAAATAAGCAAGTAAAAAAAAAAAAAGCTTGTTTTATTTTAAAAGGGAATAGTAAAACTTATATTATTATGTGATTAAATTTTTTAACTAGTATATAATATAATGTACATATATTTGTCGTGTATATATATATATTATTCGGCTTCATCCTTAGATCAAAGAGAATTATCAATGTTACTCCTTGACTTGTATTTATAATAGGGCAAAGCATAGAAAATCTTTTTTGACTTGTAGTCTTTTCTAGTAAACTTCTTGTCTAACTGTTTTTACCACAGAACCTCCCTTGACTTGTAGTATTTTTTCAATAAATCCCCCTTGTCTAATTTTTTTACCAGAAAACCCCCTCTCAACTATTGAAGGGGGTAAAAGAGTTGATATTTGACCAAAATGCCCTTTTATTTAAATCTTAAATCTCCCGAATTTCAAAAATTCATATCTCACAAATCGTTCATTTAAAAATTGTAAATAATATATGCAGAAAACTCATGAAATAAGGATTCCAGAAATATAAGATCTGTACAACAAACCTTCATAACTAGAGAGAAATAAGCAATTTAAAAATTTATTTCAACAATCTTATTTTATTATTAAAAAATAAAATACTCAAGATATTTGCAAGAAAATTTTCATAATTATTCATTTACATATGGAGCCAAAAAAAAAAAAAAAAAAAAAAAAAAAAATTTATCCCCAACAGAAATCGATTTCATGAAATATCATATTTTTTGTCAAAGTATTTTCATTTTTTTAAAGACTCACCATTAAAAAAATATATAAAAATGAATATTTGGTCTCTATTGGGGCTAATTTTTTTTATATGTTATGCTCCATATGGAAATGAATAATTCTGAAAATTTTCTTACAAATAATCCGAGTATTCTATAAAAAAACAAAACAAAATAAGATTATTGCAGTCGATTTTTAGATTATCTATTTCTCTCTAATTATGAAGTTTTATTAAACAAATCTTATATTTCTGGAATCCTTATTTTATAAGCTTTCCGTACATATATTATTTGCAATATTTGGATGTACGATTTGTGAAATATGAATTTTTGAAGTTCGAAAAAATTAAAATTTAAATAAAATGGTATTTTGGTCCAAATATCAACTTTTTTACCTCCTTAGATAGTTGAGGGGGGTTCTTTAATAAAAAAATAGATAAGGGAGATTTATTGGAAAGGGTTACAAGTCAAGAGGGGTTTTTTGGTTAAAAAAATAGACGAGGATTTTTACTGGGAAAGGGTACAAGTTGATGTGGGTTTTCTGTATTTTGTCCTTTATAGTATTTCTATTTTCTTGCATGACAGGAAAAAAAAAAATGAGAGAAGAATGAATTGGAATTCAATAATTAGATATGGACACTTATGAAATTAAAAATATAAGAATTAAGTATTTTATGATTAGGGATTCTTTTGTAATTTTATTTTAAACAAAATTCAAAAAGTGGAGCAACTAATGAATCGCAAATATCAACAACCTATTTTTTTTCCTAGTAAATATTTTACGCCAATCAAATAACAAAAAAAAATATTTTTTTATTTATTTTATTTTATTTTCAATGTACTCTTCTACTATTATATTAATTTTTTAAAAGTGTAATCCGACCCGCCAGAGCACTTGTGAGTTGGGCATATAGTACCTTTTGGCCCAAGGTTCTATGGGCTATAGACATCTCTATTGTACAATTTTCTTTCTTAATTTCAATTTTCACAATGCCCAAAAGATTACATAAAAGTGTTTTGTCTCATATAACAATAAAAATAGTGACACAAATGGACTAGATAGTAGCTAGTCGATTGTAGTCCATGCATGTGTGTATGTTATAGCACAAAACAATCCCAACTCTCTCCACAAACTCATTAACTATCCAACCTCTGGACTCTCTAATGGAGGAGGATGTCCCCACCCGGCACTGTGTTGTTTCCCTTCATCTAGGGAATTGTAGTATGGCTTAAATTTTTTTTTTTAAAGTCTCCTGATTAAATGTGAAAGAGACGAATCTAGTATACAAAAATGGACTATAGTAGCTAAATTATTTTTGTGGGTCCTAAATTTGTCGTCCAGTCATTGTGAGCCATGTGTCATTCTCATATTCATCAGCCACAGTGAGTCCCACTCTGCAATTTCCCTGACAAAAATAATAATACGTCCAACATATGTTAGAAGAGGATGGAGATACTGAGTAGCTTAGGAAGTCGTGATATCTTTAGACAAGATTCTCTCAAGCAGCGTATATGTGAAGTTCAGTATAAAATTCAGTGACCGAAATTGAATTAATAAATAATATTTATTAATGATAAGGCGATCTCAACCATTTAATTTTTAGTCCAAAAATTCTTGTCCGGTACCTTATTGACGTTCTACCCTCACATCATGGCTTTTGATCTGTAGTGTATGGTTGTCATATTTGCCTTGTTTTGGGCTTGTGAACTTTGTAACCCAGCCTTGTAGATCTTTTTATTCTTTTTATAATATAAAAAAGTTTTAAATTGTTAAATTCTTAGTATTTGTGTTGTTTTGAGAATCAATATTTGAATTTGAATAACAATTTTTATTCTTCATTTTATTGATAATACTCTTGTGGATTGTCGAGTGACCCAATATCACCGATTGGGCAACAAATATAATTTTCTCTCACTCGCATTTAAATTCTAGCAATCATTCTAAATTGTTGGTTGTCAAATACGACCATTTAAACAACATGTTTCTGTATTTAAACTAAAGTGTCCCTCTCCGATAATCCAATTTTAATTTGTCTTTTTTTTTTTAAGAAATTGTTGTAAGCACTGTATTTTGTCCGACCGTTTTTCAGTAAAATTATTTGTTAGGTGTTCAAAGAATCAAATCATAATCACTTTTTAATCACTGATTTGATCTTATACACAAATTATTTTAATCTCAATAATTTTCAAAAAAAAAAAAAAAATCTAATTGAACATTGAACTCGGTCCAAGCGTTCGATATATTCTTTTACATCGCAATTTATCAATGTAAAATGCTCCCAATAAGATCGGCATAGTTTCAATGCACGTTTCTTGTCAATAAATAAATAAATACTTTTGATAAGATTTCTGAATAAATTAGTATAGATCAGCAATTTAACTTTGTTTGTGCTGAATCACTGAATAGGACATCTAAAAACTTTAAACAACACAGCTTATACTAAGGTTTCCTTTGCTAATGCCCATTATTTTTTTATTTTTTTTTTTCCCTAATGCCAATTTAATAAAAAAAAATCAATTATCCCAAGTTTTTCATAAATTGCTATAAACCACTTTTATCCCGCCATTTCTAACCATCAATTTCTTTTCTCCAAGTTCCAAAGAATCCAATAATGCAAAAATATTAAAACTTAACAAAAATAATTTATTTATAAATTTTCAATAAGTTTTTTACACATTCTTCGATAAATTCGACCTCTACCTAGACATTTGTTACACATAAAAAAAGAAAAGAAAAAAAGAAAAAAAAAATTTGAGAAAAAAATTTTACATTAAAATAAATAGAGCCTAAATCATGAACACCGTCTTATTGTTAATTTGATCTTAAATCAATCTCGGTTCATTTTTCAAACAATTGATTTCAATCTCAATTAACATTGAAAAGATCCATTCGAACATCTAACTAAATCGAATCTATTGATTTCGACCTTCTACATCTACTAATCTAACATCTAACTATTCTTGCCTTGTAAATAAAAATTGCAACTACCTAATCTAAGATGGACCACAGAATCGGCCTAAA